AGTGTAAACTACTACTATTCGCTAAAGTTAAACGCTCCTTAATTCAAACTGTTTACATTTAATTAGAGTTGAACTTAAAGTAAAGTTCGCTGAACAAGGCAACGGACAGATTCAGGACTCAGGACTCAGCGGAATGCAAACTCCGCATTTTGTATGCAGCGCTGGAATAAATTGTAACAAATTAGCAGGATTCGATTTAAGCTAGTATTTGCACTGGCACGAGTAGTTAAGGTATTTGTTTAGCGTAAATTATATTTACACACCGCTAACACATTTAAAATATTCCAACCCCATTCAGCGCTACCAACACTTCTATTACCCCGAATGCAGAATGCATGTGCTTAATGTCAATAGTTCCGTAACGAAATGCTCCGAGCTGCTGCAGCTTTCAGTAGACCCAACCGAAAACTATGAATTCGAAAACGTTTATTTTGCCTTTCTAACCACAAATGGTAAATAAAACCACTTCATTTGCGGTCAAAAAGCGCACAGGAGAATAAAAAGCAACGAATTCTTATTTAAATTTAAATTGAAATGGCTACTCCGCCCCCAACTCACACACTCACCCTCGCAGATTAGTAAGCTAACCCACTTAACATAGCCCTACACACACTTGCTTTGCAGTAATGTAATGTGAACGTCTCTATGCGCTGGTGTTGGCTTATGTTTTAAGGCTGTCAAGGATTTATCCTTGGACTCTTTTTTCCATATTTTCTTTTCAAACATATTTCAATCTCTTCAAATTAAATTGACCCATGTCAAAAATACTGCTAAGTCCTCCATAGCTGCAATGTAACATGACTTCGTAGAACTGCTGCTTTTCTATTTTCTATTTTCCATTTTCCTTATACTTTATACTTTGTTTTCATCATTCATGCTTTTGGTTTTTACTTTCCTACAAAGATTTAAATGCTGATAGAGAATAGAAACGCAAATAAAAATGTTGAAACTGTTTCTTCATCGAGGCAATTTAATCCGGAACCTCATCTTAAATTACATTAAAAAAAAATTAGCCCTTTTTTCAGTGCCGACTTCTAAATGTTGGAATAATAATGCCAACAAGTTGGGCTAGGCAGCCTGTGACACTCCCATCTATCCTTTTGTTTTAGATATTTGATAAATTTATATTGGCGTAGTCCTTTTTTCTTTATTGCCACACTCAAGATAAAGATAAGCAAAGGGATAGTAGCCGAAGAGAAAGCAATCAAGAAAATTGTATTTTTTATGCTTTGTTTTAATTTTTTAATCTCAAATGACATATTTTAGTTTATTAACTCTTCACTTCACTCTGCCCTTAATGTGAGTGCCAATAGTAAATTTGTTAAGTAAAAAGTAATCAAAACTGAAGCGGAAAAAGATTTAGTAAATTATTCCGTTCTGCAGTAGAAGTAATTGAATTCGAAGTATTCAGCAACTAAAACTATTGGAAAGTTTTGCTGATGACTGTTTTCTTTGCGATATGAAGAGGAGATAAGTCAAATGATAAAATAATGATAAATGAATTCATTAGAAATTATTTAAAGCAATAGTATATCCTGTGTGAGAATTCAGAGATAGATTCCCCGTTGCTGGCATTCACAGTTTTCACTTGATTATCTGCTTGACACTGTAGTGTTCTCAGCACACGTATCGGTATAATGCACCCATTTATCGGTATAATGCGATAAACACCCCACTGGAATATTAAAGAATTCCTTCGGTACTAGTGTAAACTATATATTTGAATATAATTATCTCATTAGTTAGGAGCGAGACATATTTGACACCTTTGCTGTTCTTTGGGTCACAGAATATGGTTAAAAATACAAATCCACATCGAATGAAAGTAAATAAATACAGTCCTACCACCCGCGTAAATTCGAATTTTAACCACTTGACACTCCCCTTAACTTTCCAAACTCTATTAGTCAGAATAGCTGAAACTCTCTATCCTGATCGCCGTGGTACCAGACTTACACTATCGGACGTGTCCCGCAAGTGAAACTCACTTACTACCTCTTATACTCCAAACAGTATGGGATGATACCTATTGAATTTAAGTCACCTATTACGAAAGGCATATTCGGGACTATTTCAACCACCATCTCAAAGATTAGAAAACATAATCTACATATAATACAGAACGAACTTATTGAAAGAAATGTATTTTCTAATAGCAGACATTACTCCTTGGCACAAACCTGAATCCACCACTGGTTTGAAGATATACTTGTTCTGTCCCAAACCTGTAGTCAGACTACTTAAGCTTATTAAATAAACTAATAATACCAACTATCTTTAATTAGTAGGGAGTAGATGAAAAAAATTCTGCAATGGTACGTCTAATAGGACACTATGATTTAGAGTCTTCTGGCCCGAAAATTGTTATTTACTCTAACAACGAGGCTGCTCTTAAAGCACTTTCTTCTTGGACTTTCAAATCAAAACAGGTCCTAGAGTGTTACGAGCCAGAAGTACATCAAAAACTGATTTTATGGGCCCTCAACCCTTTTGTGGAATAAACTGGCCCAGTACAAAACAGATTATTAAGGAAATGAAAAATCATATGCGACTGGAGTAAACTTTTCAGGACTCAGACAAAGCAAAGCACTGATAACACCGTACTCCTTCAAAAACATACTTAAATTCTCAAAATGTAATTTAAGGTTGATAACGGGTTTCATTACAGGTCATTATGGTCTGAAATATCACCTTCATAAACTACAATTATATGCTAACTCGGAATGCAGATTATGCCTCGAAGATGAGGAAACGACCATGCACATTTTTGTGACTGTCCAGCTTTAATAACGCACAGAAGAAACCTGTTTCATAAAGAATTTCTGTCACCAGAGCAGATTAAGAACTCTTCTCTAGATTTAGTTCTAGACTTAATTCACAAAGCTCTAAGGGGCTTTGTTTAATCAACAGTGAAACTGGTACAATAGGACTGACTCTTCTGGGCACAAGTTTCACGTCTACTCTTTATTATTATTATTATTATTATTATGATTTAGAGTCTTAAGCAGACACTATCGTTAATAAATAAAATTAAAAGAAGCCTACACTAACAATAAAAATTACCGGCCTATGGGCTATTGGAGAGCAGGCAGGTAAAGAATGGGAATCCTTCACAATATTAACTGCCACAGCTGTAGCCAAACAGAAGCATAGATAGATCGCTGCATTTAAGAGGCATAGTCTGGCATTTATAATTGAGCAACATTTTTTTGACCAATATGATGAGACACAGAAGGTTGTCCATCGTATAATAAGTACTTTATCATGCTTCTTTAATCTAACTTAGTTTTGTCACTTCCTGTACCATGACAACCGTTTTCTGAGAAGATTTCCATCGCAGTGTGAAAGCTTCATTCCAGTTATTAAGACGGAGAGATATTTTCATAAGGCTTAATACCTGGAGGCTTAGACTTAGCACGGGCAGGGCATAGGTGGACAAGGACTGGTGATGGGTATTTGAAACTAATAGGAATTGCTGTATTATCAGCCACAAAGTAAATTAATTAAAAAATAATAAAATTTTGTTGTTGTAATTCACTACTCATCAAAGCATCTCAATATTTTTTTTAATTTTTAATTGTTTTCATTACCAACAATTTTTTAGCATTTGTTAACGGTAATATTTGTTCCAAAAATTAAAATTAATTACTAGAAAATTATTCTATTCCCAGTGCTTTAAATGCATCTCACCTGCATCTATATCTAGATATATCTATTTAAGGGAATAGAATATTTATAAAACTTTTTCAAATAAATATTTGAAATTGGAAGGAAACTAACTACAAAGCAAATAATCTAAATATGGATTCAGATAACTAAATCTGAGAGACTAAGCATTTATATATGACAATAGCACTCCATAGTTTATTTAAAAATTTCGCTTAATATACACTTTTTGAGTTGCTTCATGTAAATGCTGTACATGAGCTTGCTATTGTGAAAAGTTAATTAAAGAACTTTAGGTCATACATCCGGACTCCATTCTATTTTTGAAATATTATTATGACACTGAAGCGATACTGTCAATTTCAACGCTGTTATTCTAATAGAGTATATGACGCTGATAACGCCGCAGGATATATAACAATCAGCCGATGTGTTAAATAACAGTCATCAAAGGAATTACAAGGATACGTGAGAATATTTTTTTATTAATCAACGTCGACAACGCAATTTAATTAAAATAAAAGTGAATGTTTGGAATTTAATTTCATATGAAATACCGACGATCAGAAAATAAACGTACCAGCAAAACCGCAGACAATGAAAAATTCTGCTTGCAGTGAAGCGAAAAAGCACCGATAGTCCCTTGCAGAGGAAAATAAATTTGATTGGGATTTTCATTGATAGTGCAGGCCAGTATTTCACAAAGCTCTTTCATTGTTTTTGCCATAGTGTGTACAATTAATTGGCTGCGGTTTAAAGATACATAAACAACATCCACGTTTTTGTGTATCTGCAAAATTGATACTCGCTGAAGCACACCATAATAACAGCGCGAATAAAATGATTAACCTTTCAGTATGTCATTAGCGATATACAATATTTAAGGTCTGTGATGAAACCAGTTGCTGGATACTACAACACTGCACAATGCATTTAAAGTCATTTTTTATTAAAAAAAAGTATCTGTTACTAATTTGCATATGGTGCATATATATCACCAATAGGTGGGAATCATCGAAACCCATAGTGTTAGACTTGAACCCACTAAACCTACTCTTAGGAATACAAAATGGCTATTCCAGCTATTGGACCATTAGGGTCAAAAACTGAAATCGCATTCCAGTTGTCAAGGGAAGGGCAGACATTAGAATACAGAACAGTTTTCAACAATTTCAACATCTTTCGATTTACACGCTGCAACTCTGTACATACAATAGACACACAATATACATATCTTGCTGTGTACCTATAAACGTAAATTCAATCCATTTAAAGCAAGCTATGAATTGTCAAACAAATTTTTTAAACAAAGCTAAGTTAAATTTTTTCAGCAATCAGAGCTTTTATTTCTAAATTAATTACAAATCTAGATAACTTGCTATAAGTTCTTCTCACATCAATTGGATTTTCTTCATTTCGCCAACATGTCTATTGCACTTCGTATGTTCAAACAATCTTTGGAATTGGTTCCAAAGAAATCAGCCACTATTTGGCTATGGAAACGCAATACTACTAATGACTTTGCACGTGACAAGTCTGGTAATCGTGAAGTGGTTGGTTATGGTTACAATGGTTCTCCAAACTATTGTGATCGCTTTGATTATCCAATGCCTGCTATACGTTTCCGTGAACCTACCATTGAAATATGCAAGTTACGTGAGAAGGAGCGCGGTGACTGGCGTAAGCTAACCATGGATGAGAAGAAAATCCTGTACCGTTATAGTTTCTGTCACACTTTTCAGGAGATGAAGGCTCCAACTGGTGACTGGAAATTAAACGTTGCTTTTCTTTTTTGGGCGCTTGCAATTGGTTTTCCAGTTTCTCTTATCTATGGGCTTTTCTTGTATGGACCATTACCGGTAACATTTGATGAAGAGCATCGCCAAGCACAATTTAAACGTATCATAGATATTGAAGTTAATCCCATAACAGGTATCGCTTCCAAGTGGGATTATGAAAATATGGATTGGAAGAAGTAGTCATCTCCAATTAATTTTATCATTTATGCTCAATAAAGTTCAATTTACTACAAACTGTCATCACTTAAAAGTTACTTTAAAAATAAAAACTAGCAAAAAAAATATTTTTGCAATTAATTAGTAGCACTTCGAGAATATGGTAAATATAAATCAATGTTAAGGTTATTTAATAACCTGGTAATCGTGAACAGAATCACATACATACAATTATGTATTATCCGATCAGCATTTCATAAAACGTTTCATACTATCAAATAAGTTTCTTCGTAATTATATAGGGTGTTTTTGAGCTCGTAGAAATATCATGACATTTAATTTTTGAATATGGTTTCCAGCATATGTCTACTGCAATGAGGAGTTACATGATCTTTTCAAAAAGTGCAATTTTTGACTATTTTTTGCAAAAAATGTGACCGCATGGCTTCAATGGTGACATGAACATTGGCTTCCAATGCTTCAGAAGTTGCTGGTTTGTTGGCATAAACCAATGACTTAACATAACCCCATGAAAAGAACATGGACATGGGCAGCAGTTAACATTTCGCAAAAAATCGATAGTTGTATGGCAAGTCTGTATAGCTCCATCGATCAACCAAATATCGTCGATGTTTAACTGTTTCATTTTTGGAAATTGATGACAAAAATTTAGTCATGATGGCTCGATAGCTCTCTCTGTTGCCAATAACAACAGCTCCTTTCGCTTTTCGAAAAAAATTAGGACCGATGATGTCATGTAAACCGCACCAAACAGTCAGTTTCAATGGATGTAATGGTAATTCTTTAATGCTATAGAATATCTTCGATCTGTTTACAGCAAATTTGCTTATTGACGTAGCCATTTAACCAGAAAAGAGCTTCATCACTTAACACAATTCTGCGACTTTGAAAGCGTTTAACTAGCGTTAAACTGAACTGACAAACCTTACTGAACAGAAATGTCGACACATTCTAATATTCTTAGCTATCAAAGCATATTTATCGATAACAATAGTTCTTATGCAGCTTAAAAAACATCCTATAGAAGCATCTAACCATAATATGAAAAGCATATGTAGTATGTTATACACTCTACTAATAGTTAGATTCACCTTTGTTTCTTAAGTATGAAGAAACTTGTACGAAATTATCAAATGATATACGATGTGAGATAACTGCCTGTTATACAGACATTTCATATAGATAACTGGACTCTCAGCAATATTTATTATAATGCTTAAGGTAAGTTGGGGTTAAACTCTCAATATTTATGAAAATATTTATGGACACTAAATGGTTGATCTGTGATCTCTATATGCAATATCTATAATGTAAAGTAAAATATACATACATATTTATTTTTTTGTAAATAGATACATATTATATCTGCCACTCAAATCTGTGGACCGGAACCTTATTGTGGATTAAGTTGATCTACAACTAGGTCTCTAATTGATAAATGGTTTGCAGCGGAGAGAAGTCGAAGTAATCGTCAAGCTAAAGAGCTGGTTCACCACTACAGTTGTGGTAAGATGTTCTCCTTCCGCAAAACAGAGCTGAGTTTGTTGGTGGGATATTAAACGGATCCTCACGAACTGCTTTATCACCTTAACAAAATGGGTCTATCCGAAGAGATAGACTGTCGACTCTTCTAAGAAGCAGACACGACTTCCAATCACATTCTATGTGACTACCCAGCCTTCATCTGAGCCAGGAGGAGGTCACTACGTCGAGAACTACTTTCCTCTTCTGACATTAGAAGGTCTGACATTCTAGCCTTCATTCAGAAGGCGGAATGTCTTCTGTTCGGTTAGGTTCTGTTGCAGCACAAAAAATCAATCGTGGTCGCAGGAGTTAGAACCCCGTTCATTCCCATTCCAATTCCTACATACTGTATACTCTTGTATTCTCTAGATCTTGAAAAAGCCAACCTATACGCTTTGATTGTAGTCAGCCGGCAAGATATCATTGCTATAATATCTAACCAAAGCAAACATAAACAAAAATAAAATGTTTATTTATTTTTTATTTTATCACTTCAAGTTTTTTTTCACAAACTTATGGAGCTTCGTACTTTACCCACACTTCGAAGTACGCATTTCACTTTGAATTCTCATCAATCCAAAATTCAAGCAAATCAACAACTTTTCACACAACTAATTGTTTATGCAAGTAAGTATGTATGCCTGTATGAATGGGTATGCATGTACGTATGTTTCGCTAATATGTGTAAATAAATTATATGAGTTTGTTTTGATTTAGCGATGGCTGGGGAACCGCGATTTCGACGACCTACATAGACCTACGTACCATATGTAAAATGAAGGAAAATGAATAAAAGTGAAATAAAATTAAAGTTGTTTATGGCATTATCAGAACGGCTTTTGTTGTGCTCTTAATATTTGTTTACATTTCAAATGTTTTGTGTACACAAATAAAAATTACACGGCACTCGTAGTCGCACTCACACTAACAGATCTAGTAACATTGCCCGCGGGTCTACTGCGTATCAAATGAAAAACGCCAACTTCTTGCGTGTATCTTGTATCTCGTATCTGCGTATCTGCGTTTTTGCGTTTTTGCGGAGATAAGAAAGTGTATCGGCACACAAACGCCTGAGTCAAGATACAGTGTTTATTTTTTTTTTTTTTTTGTGATAACACAAAACAATAACAAATGAAAAATAATAATAATAACAAAATAAAAAATTTAAAAAAAATAAATAAAAACTTTTTTAAATCGCCTTTTTGCGTTCTTCGACGCTCAATGAATTCGTTTTTGACCCAGTAAAATAGTTTTGCGTTCGTTTGTGTGCGCTATTTTGCTTATTTGATAACAAATAAAATAATAATAAATATTAATGATAACAAAAAAATAACAATGGAATATAGCAACAAAGTAATTACAAACTGTTATCAAAATAAAAAATAGAAAAAGAAATTAAACGAAAATAAATATTAGAATAAATAAGATTCAATTTCAGAAAATTGCCTTCATTTCAAAACAATTGAGAACGCAACGAACTGTGCTTCACATTCCACAATTATAAAAAAAAATACATATATAATAAAATAAATTTAAGAAATATTTAACAATTTATATAGAAATTGCATTATCAGACCTCTCTCAGCCATCAGCCATAATGAATAATAGTTTATTAAACCTGCCATTAAACAGCTGTTCTCCGACTTTTATTTGCATGAATAAACACAATCTAATCAGCGAAAATAATAAACAAATTCCAAATGCAAACGGTCTATATCGGTGGACAGAATAATAAATTTATAAATAATTTATAAACAAAAAAAGAAATTTTGACAGAAAATCAATCGCACTACGCCACTCGATCATTGCATGAAGTGAAATAATCACAGGATGTGATTTATATTTATAAATAAATTTTTAATTTTCCTCAAATGCACCGCCCAGTCTCCAAAGACACCTAACAAATCGCATATTAGTTATTAATAAATTAATAATAAATTTTACAATTAAATATTTTCTCAGTTTTCTTGACATATAAAGATGAGTATATATGCTTGGACACTCACAAGTATGACTCTTCAAAAGTGGAACGTCCAGAAATGAGAACCTAATTTTGTCATGCATTGAATTCTGTTGCAATAACACTTAAGGCTCTTAAGGGACTTAAAAGTCTAATATTAGAGAGCTTTCTTTTTTATAGTTTTTGTACAAACAAGCAACCCAGCTTATACTTATATGTTACTCATTCTCAGCAGATGAAAAAATACAACCCCAGCGCAAGCAGTAATACTGCTCTTCGAAAGTATAATATCCAGAAATGAAAACCTGATTTTGTGATGCATTCGAATCTGTAATAACGCTGAAAGCTCTTAAGGAACTTAAAAGTCTAATATTAAAGCTCAAAAAATCGTTAAGAAAGCTCAAGCTTTCTTTTATATATAGTTTTTGTACGAACAAGCAACCCAGCTAATACTTTACCCGTTCTTTATACAACAGATGAAGAAGTAGAGCCCCACCACAAGCAATAATGCTGCTCTTCTACTAGAAGAGCAAGTAGAATATCCAGAAATTAAAACCTGAATTTGTTAAGCAAATTAACAGCTCCTAAGCTTAAGCTCTTAAGAGATTTCAAATTCTAATATCAGATATCTTTTTTTTATAGAAAAATCATTGAAAAAGCACAACCCCAGCACAAACAATAATGTTGGAAATGCAATAACGCAGAAGAGTATGTTCGATGGATCATATAAAAGTCGCGACGCCAGTAGGGGTATCAATCGAAAGATTAACACTGACTCCAAAATGCCGATTAAAACCTTAGCGTTGACTATCGGACTATCGGAAAATAATATGGATTTAAGGATGAAGGACATAGAACTCCAGCACTGTGAAATATGAGATGATCAGTGGTGACTTGATTTACTGAAGTTGCTTTAGAGAACCTGAGAAAAGCTATTGTGTTATCTCGCGATGAGATAGTTTTTGCTCCCTTTTTTTCAACGCAGTCTGCTGGCCTTTTTAGCACAATCAGAAAAAGAAAATACAGTATTGAGGGTTTGCTTATACAGAATCAAGGTATCAAAGTTAGATACTGGATAGTATACACAAGCCAATGAATAGTCTGGAAGGTGCAGAATGCTTTTTACTGGTTGTGGGATTGGGCTAGCTGTCGATAGATACCCTGGCATGCGTTTTTTGTCATAGGATATAAAAGTCTAAATTAAAAAAATAGAAATTTTTATAAATAAATAAATAAAATAAAATTGACTCTGAGTGCAATACAATTTACACGTAGTAAAAATAATTGCTATTATTCCAATAAACGGATGTATAGACTGTAAACTAAATACACAGTTTTTTTATTGGGAGTGTTAGAACTTCCATATAATTCTTTAAGTTTATTTCTTCTTTTATATACGTTAGCTATACCTATTCATTTTTAATCTGTACCAAGCTATATAACACAAATGTATCAATATAATATAAAATTTATCAATATAATAGCTACGTGTTATGAATTTCGAAGACGATCAGATAAATCTCTAGTAGTAGAGATATTCTTCAAAATCTTTTTGCCTTGTATAATAATAGCAAAGAATACTTAATCGTATTATATACTTTTCATAAAATAA